AATGAAAATGAAAACGATAGAACAAACAGAAGCGTAAAGCAACTAAAAATGCAAGATGAATAATAATAGCATAGTCAAGAAGAATAAATCAGTAAGCATGATAAGTCGAAAAATAAGTAGAAAGGTATGGGAGGGGGGGAATAAGGTAAAGGGAAAAAGAATAAAGACTATTACAAGAATAGGGATAGCGAAATCGGAGCAACACTTACAGCAGATGTAATAGGGAGCAACAGTAAAACAGCAAGAAAGCTGACTGAAGAAAGACGCATAAGAAACAGCGGAAAGGGAAAGCTCAACTCAGAAGAAGCGGAAGCAATGCACAAAATGAAGCAAAAAAAATAGGAAAGCAGGTTGAAATGAAAGGGAAAGAAATTCAAATGATTACCTTGCTGCTCTTGCATGCATGAGAACCCGGGAAAGCATGTCTAAAGACGTGCAAATTGTGCATGGAGACGCCCAAAATTAATGGATTGCAGGCTGCGTATGCTGAGAGGTGAATCTGCCTACCAATAGAGAGAAGGGGAAGGCGTCTGCTTATAATGGCTCGATTATTAATGTTTTGTTTTTTTTAGTCGACTAATCTAGCATTAGTATTAGCAGTATAATAATAAGTGCTGTTATTATTATGATTAATAATAACAGAATAACAATATAGATAAGACATGAATAAGAAGAATTCAATTACAATATAGATAAGATAGATAATACAAGGAAATAAAAAAATGGAAAAATGAAAAAACAAGTAAAAGTATCATGCAATAGATAAGATAGGATTAATAATAATTTCATGAAAATTTAGATAAGATAGTTCATATAAGAAAATACACTATATGGAAATGGAAAAAGGAAAATTAAATGAAAATTATAATGCAGAAGGAAAAAAAAAGATAGTGAGGTAGTAATAAGAATAGAATAAGTAAGATTAAATACGGGATAAAGGAAAAATAAAATTTTAAAAATGGACTAAATGTTTATTTTAAAGGAGGAGAGCAAAAAAGCAGCATAGGTAGTATATAAAAAAGGAAGCAAATACTGGAAAGTGAAATAATATATAAAAAAAGAGTATAAAATTAATATATATAAAAAATATATAGACTAAATAGAAGATAGGTATATAATATATAATAATAATATAATTAAAAAAATAAAGAAGAAGCGGGAAAAAAACAGCATGAGTATAAAAAAAAAGAAGGAAATAATGGATAGTGACCAATTTGAGCTGAGGCGGGAAAAAAATAAAAAAGAGAGAAGATAGGTGGTGCATGAAAGACGGAGGAGCAAAAACGAAACAACACATATTTGCAATGGGATTTGCACGAGCACGTGATTTGCACACGAGTAGGAGGACGAAAGCAATCCAAGCAGCATTCCCACTTTATATAAAGTTCTTTATATACAATACTTCCAAAGTTAATAATGATTCAAGTCAAGGGACTCGTCTCATTGCTTGTAAGGACACTCAGAGGATAACTGCCCATCACTAGTAATAGTCCCAGGGGATTAAATGAGTTGCTTGCTTTGCAGAGCAGCTCCTTTCGAGTCCATCTCAAGGAGTTGAATTCTATTGCTTTAGATTTGGTCTCATGGAGCTCAACAATAAAGACCGCCTTTCTTGCTGGTACCTTGTAGACGCGCCGTCGCGTTTGCAATTGTTCCTAGCTTGCCGGGGCTTAGTATAGTTTTTATCAGCCCTCCCTTGGTTAGTTCATTCGGGAGCGAGCTTCTCTTCAGGCCACGCTTATCAGATTTCAAGTCTTGCTTGGGGCTTCCATGTTCGAGGGGGTAGGCCCTCCCCTTTCGGGCTATAGGGGGATTAGTCGGGTCGAAAGTTCGGATATCCCCTGTGTCTGGAAAAAAAGAAAAATATTATAGTTTTTATCTATTACCCTTTTTCTTAGTTTTTCTTCTGGGGTGGGGAATAACAAAAAAAAAAAAAAAAAAAAAAACTGATTATTTCTGCTGCAACACATGTAAAGTATTGGAAAGTGTTTAGAGTCTAGTCCTCTAGTTAGCTTTCCACGCATAATGTTGTAAAGAAACTAGAGAGAAAATTGACAGTCCTAACGAGCTAAAAGTCTAAAACAGGGAATTCATAAAGCGATATCAAAAACAAATTTAGAAAGATCTTGAACTCTCGTCTTGTTATTTCTTCAGAAAGAATCAAGGATAATCGGAGAGGGTAAATCCACTAAATTGAGATAGAGTGGCGTGACACACTTGTGGGACATGTGCGGTTGTTGCATCTGCAATCACACAATATTATTTATGGTCTTGATTAGGGCTGCAAACTAGTCGAGTCGAGTCGAGTTTTGAGCTAATCGAGTCGAGTCTCGACTAAATTTTACCAAACTCGAGTTCGAGTTCGACGAGCCGGCAAATTTCGAGCTCAAGCTCGACTCGAATCAAGTCGAGCCGAGCTCGAGCTCGAAAAAAAATAAAAAATAAATATTTTATTTAAAAAATAAATAAATAAAATAATATTTTTTTCTTAATAAATAATAAAATATTAAGGACATATACGTAATTTTACTATGAAAATAAAAAATATATATAATATACGTAATTTTATTATTAAATAAAAATAAAAATTAAAAAAAATATATATATATATACCCAAGCTCGCGAGCTAACGAGCTTAATATTCTGAATTCGAGCTCGAGCTCAAGTTTGACGCGAGCGGCTCGATTCGTTTGCAGCCCTAGTCTTGATGGAGTCACATTAGTTTGGTCCAATCTAGATTAGTCATTTTAAAAATTTTTAAATTTCAAAATGAACGATTGAAATTGAACTGTATTGATATGATCCAAATTATATGTCATTAATAACACCCTCCAATTGCAAATCACAGGTGCCCTCGTGACTCAAGATCAAGTACAGAATAGAGATGATAACAGGGCAGTTGTCCGCGAGCACCTACCCTTCGGAGGCTGATAGAGCAGGGTGGGGGAATTTTTCTCCTCCTCTCCCCCTCCTCCCATTTAAGTAGGGTGGGCTGCAGGGGAGGATACCCCTGTCCTGTCTCCTGTATAAATTAAATTTAATATAAAAAATTATACATGTAACTTATATACTCTAATCATTATACATCAAAACATAATAATCAAATCAAGCTAGTGCAGCTCATGACAATTGTACCAATTGTAATCTTCGTAATTAACTGTAATTAATAAGTTATTACTATATATATAATCTTAAGGTAATCTTAGCTAAATGTAATCTTAGTTAATTAAATCAAGCTTCAGCCCATGACAATCTGATAAAGTTATTGTAGTATAAGTTTCCATATATCCTTGGTCTGTTTCATTGAAACATGTAACAGGCATTTTACTGAAAAAATTATACTTGCTTTGTTGGAAACACCTAGGCAACGTAAATCTTTCGTTATTACTTGTGTGCATTGTTGTACTCATACAACCCTTTAAAGATTTGAAGTAGCAGCAGCATTTCCTATTTTCCTATTGTGAAAAGTTCTTGCGGTGTGCTGTGGTTTCTTCCCCTGTGGGGTCAGGGAAAGGGGAAGCGGAGAATGGGGGCAGCGGATTCCAAATAGAATTGTAATTGAACTGAGTTCCTCACGGACAGTTGGGTCAGAATCTTGACTCGGACTCGGGTTAATCGAGTTCGAGTCGAGTTCGAATGCCTCGATAAGTCAAATAAGTCGAGTTCGAATATTTAGAAGCGATATTTGAAAGCTTGTCGAGTCTTGTCGAGCTTTTTAATTTTTTTCTTTAATATATTATTATTATAAAATTACTCTTATATCCAAAAGAATTGTTAAATTTATTAAATGTTTCAGGTCGTATAAATTTTATTAAAGGACAATAATATTCTTTTGCTCAAAAATTGTCAAGAAAATAAAATTTTCTAATTTTAACTCGATAAGGCTCGCATTGACTCGATCTTATGTGAATCGAGCTTGAATATCATTCTTATATGTCGAGTCGAGCTCGAGGATTGACTCAATTGCATCCCTAATTTCAAACCAGCTCTGTTGCCATCACTGGCTTCTGCAAATCCCGTTAAGAGAGGCTCCAACAAAAGACAAAGCACTAGTCCAGAGCCGTGAGCCAATAGTATTGTTGGGCTTTGACATGGGCAACTAGGAGTTTGGGTCCCGTGAGAATTTAATGGACCAACAGTGTCTGACTAGATCCTAGAGAAAGAAAGTCAAAGGCAAGACTAGTTAGAATAAAGCCAAGCTCGCTTAGCTCAGCCCATACGATACCAATACACTCAACACTCAACTCACGCGGGTTGCCGTTGTCAGCCGGCCCCCCAGCTGTTTTCTGCACGATATTATTATTGTAATTAATAATAGATTCAGAAAATTGTTGAAATAGTCCACAAAATCTTTATAATTTCTCAAATTGGCCCGTAAAGTTTAATAAAGCAGTTTCTTCCTAAAACTTCTTCTTCCTTTTTTTTTTTTTGGTATGTTTTCCTAAAACGTTTAACTGTGTTAAAATTAAAAGACGCGTCAACTTTTGACCAATAATAAAAATTGAAGCATAATTTACCTCATATGTATTAAGTGGATAATTGCCCGCATCAAACTTGAAGCACTGTCTTCATTCCGTCTTTAAACAAAAAGAATGTGAAACATGGTCAAAGTACATATTTACTACAGAAGCTTCTGTTGATGGAAAGCTCTGACATACAACATTTTTCTTGGATGACCAATATATATATATATATACAATTAGCTACCTCTTCTTGTATGCTTTCAAATTGTAGTTGGATTCTTAACGGATATGGCAATTTTGGTATATGCTGAAAAGGAAACTCTTTTTTACTCAAAAAACAGGGGTACCTAAGACTAAGAGATATATATACATATACATATATATATATATACATATACATATATATATATATATATATATATATATGTTAATGAAGCTATTCTCCTATATGGTCTTATTTCCTTTTTCTTCATAGATGAACCGTGGGATGTCTCAATAATTCCCACAATTCCTTGACCAATAGTAAAACAGGTCAAATGTTCGAATCACTCACTCTACATTATACAGGAAGCTAGCTGGTGGGCCGCCTTTGAGACCTTTGACGCCAAGAAGCAATAGCCAATAGTACTAGGTTTTTTTTTGGGGGGTGGGTTTAGACTTTAGATTACGACTCAAATTAAAATGTATAACTCCACAATGGCACTTCAGCATCATTTTCCACGTCATCAAAACTATAACCATCTCCTAAGCAATGAGGTGGAGACAGCAAAAGCCCTTCTGCCATGTGTGCCATCAACCCATGCACGTCAAACAGAGCTTCATCGTCCATAAACATCGAACTCGTACTTTCCTCACCATTCTTCTGCAACGCCTCCCCATGATCAAAGCTGCTTACTTCATTGTTGTCGTGTGTGATATCCCCGATTTCTTCTCCTACTCGATCATGATGATGATCTCCAGACTCGCTCCCGCTTCCGCTAGCAGAAGCCTCAGAATTGGTATTATCACATTCTTCTTGGGACCTGAACATTTCCGCCGCCTCAGCTGCAGCTTTACGGATGTCCTTGGCATCCCTGGACTCCGGGACGGGCAAACGCCAGACGGAGTCAGCAAAGTTCAAGCAAGCCAAATGACCCCTTAACGCCAATGCAGCAACATCGTAAGCTCGAGCCGCCATCTCCGCAGTAGGATACGTTCCTAGCCATATTCTCGATTGCTTGTTGGGCTCGCGTAGCTCGCAAACCCACTTGTTGGAATTCCATCTTCTCCTCCTTATGCCTCTGTAAACCGGGTGTCTCGTCTCCTTGAACTTCTTCCTCCCAGCTCGCTTCTTCGGCCTGCTCGACGACAAAATAATCTCCTCGTCGGAATTGATGGCTCTTTGGGCTGTCGTGGGAGAAACATCGGACAACGAACCAAATGGGTGTGGATCAGAGCACGAGCTGGAGGCATCCATGTTTGGCAGATATCTGAGTTCTTGAAACCTAAGGCTTTCGGTTGTTTAGCTAACTCACAATAGTTGTTTTCGTTATCGGAGGAAAGCCCTTTTACTCTTTTTAGTTCTCGTGTTTGCTTGCTATAAGAGGAAACTGGGGAAGAGAAGTGTTTTTATAGCATGGGTATTTTTGGGGTACAACAACGTGGCTACGATATAGACACGAACACGTTATTATGACAGTAGTATAGTATTGATGCCGGGTATAAAACGTAAACACGTGGGATTTAGTGTGACGTGGCACTAGCCATGCTTCAAAAGTTGGAGAGTCAAACAGTATGAAAGAAAGAAAGATGGATACTCCTTTTTTATTTTATAGGGATGTGGGCCACGATTTGACTCTTACTAGTTGACAAGGGGATGAATGAATGCAGTGCTGCAGGACTTAAATAAGTAAAGAGGTAGGGTAGGGATGCTTTTTTTTTTTTTTTTTCGGGTCTTAGATTGAGGAGACCATTTCATAATTTTTCACTTACTTTTTGGTTGACTGCAGCCAGAAGTCGGCGCTTGGTGGTGGGGGCCACACGGGTGTTACTCATCCAGACCACGATTTGGGATGGGAAGGCTGCGGCAGCTGCTGCTGCCTGGCCAACATCAATCTACCATTCAACATTTTTCTTGATGTCAGCCACTAACATTGTCGTAGGTACGATAATTTGCATGATTGATGTGAGAATTTTTTTCGTGAAAGTTGTGCATCTATGGCACGAGATTTATTATTATTATTAATTTTTTTTTTGGTATGACTCCAATGCGTGGCTTATGGCACGAGACTTGATAAACTATTGGTTTGCTCAATTTTTCTATCAACAATTTTATTACAAGCTTAAAGTCGGTTAAGTTATTTGATATTTTAAATTTTTAATTGCCAAGAATTATTTAAATTAATAAATTTTGCACTGACTCAAAAACAGACACTGTTTTAGAGGGACACGGAAGCATTTACCGTGTGACACGATGCGATATATTCAGTTCAAACAACTTGTATATTACTCCTTTTTCCATTATTTGCGTCTCAAATGTTGTCCAGCCTTTTCTTTTTTTCATTATTTGCCTTAAATTGAAAATTATGTCGCATGATTTTGAATGAATTTGTTCCATTTCTAGAATATAATACTTGTAGAGAAGTACATATTTCAAGTTCTTATACAAATGAGAATGATAAAGTAAGCGGAAAGCAAGTTCCTTAACAAACATGACGTGCTAGTGACAATTGGATACTATTATTAGACCATATAAGTTCATCTCTTAAAAAAAAATGAAATTCTTCATTAATGGCGTAGTGTTTGGCTTTTCAGATGACGTAACCAGTTGGCAGCGGCGAAAGTTTTTGATGAAAGCTCCCTTTCTTTTGCTGGCCCCCAACCCCCGCCGCGGCGGAAGAGTTGTGCATATGTGGCATGAGGGCTTAGACGAATTTGGTACAGTTAATTTTACCATAGAAAAAGTTTGCAAGCTTAAGGTCGGCTAAACTCACTGGGCTTTGGCTCAGTGGCCGAAAGGGATTAAATCCCTCCCTCTTTGGGCTGTAAGTCCAGAGTTATTGGAAGGAGAGATAAGTTAAGTAAAAACTCTCGAATTTAAAATTTTTTATTTACACTTTAAAAAAAATTTCTAGTTTATATTTCAAAATTTAATTGCAAACAAAGTACCACTTCCTTTCGATGTGTGTAACAAATTTGATTTTTGTTTTACAAGTATGGCATGTACTCAAATTTATTAGTCTTAAATAAATTTTATACTAACACAAAAATAGACACTAATTTGGGAAGGATTTAACATGTTACGTATAAGGTATTCAATTCAAAAGACGTGTATATTACTTGTTTCTTTTGGTGAATCAGTGGACGTACCTCATTTTTAACATAATAATCCTTTTGTATAGATGCGACTCAAATGTCAGGTCCAGATTTCTTTTTTGTTCATCATTTGGCTTAATCCAATTTGGAGAAGCTAAATCACAATTTATTTTCTATGATTTTGAATGGAATTGTTTTAGTTCGCTTAAAAGTTTTACTCTTAACTATTTATTTATGAGACAATATGTTTTAGAACATAATAAATATTTGTAGAAAATTACACATATTTCAAGTTCTCACACAAACGAGAATGAAAAAGTATGCCAAACCGAAGGTCCTTGACAAATGTGAATTAGTGGTGATGCTGACAAGCGACAACTGGATTCCTGTTACATTAATATTAGACTGTTTAAGAAGACTGACGAATTGGGAAACGACAACCGTTTCTAAAGGATCACGGTCACGGTATGGCCTCAAAAATTTATACGGCTCATATTATAGCATGTGACTCGATTTTTACGCTATGTGTGAGACCCACAAAAAAGTGTTGTAAAATTACGTCGTGTGCAAAGTAAATTACATCGTGTGCAATAAAAGTTACGCGCTGTGAAAAATGAATACAACCGGCACAAACGGTTGCATGCCCCTTGTCCGACGAATTGTTTGGCTGTCAGGATGACGTAACCTGCAGGATGACGAATTGTTTGGCTCTCAGGATGACGTAACCGGCAGAAAAAGTTCTAATTAAAGTTCCGTTTCTTCTGCCAAACCCAAAAAAGAATTTTATTTTTATTTTGGCTCGCAGAAGAAACACGTGAAAAATGTGGCCTTTTAGTCAAGGTAACGGTTGCTTGGATAGTGGACGAATCATCCAGGAAAGAAATATTACGTATGAATCCTCGAACTTAGGCTCAAATTGTATTCTAGTCCTAAAAATTTATTACTTGAACGCCTATGAACTTTTAGGTTATTCCAATCATCCCGACTAAAGTGGATCACGGGCAGGAACGGTTGCATTTGCAATTGTTTCTAGCGTTTTTGTGCATTTTGCACATTGCGTAATTTTGTTTGCACACTGAGTAATTTTGTTTGCACAACGTGTAATTTTAGAACAAATTTTTGTGAACCTCACACACGTTGTTAAAAATGAAATACAAGAAGTGATTTGTACCGTACAATTTTTTTGGACCAAATCCTGACCGTTAACTATTCAGGGACGGTCCTTCTGATGACCGTTCTTACCCCGTCTCCCGACTAAAGTATATCCAAAGTTATCAGCACCAGGCTAGTGAATGGAACTAGCTTGAAAAAGATAACAGAAAATACAAATTGAAGTATCTGAGCCCGACTAGCTTTGTTTTAGCAATCTCATTTAATTTTCCATTATGCGAAGGACCACCGAAATATGGTTTTGAATAAAAAGAAATAGTATGAATATGCAAATTCACAATTGCATTTGTTTTGAGAATGACTTTAGTCTAGATTGAGTATGCCATTATTATTTCATTCGTATCTATGTATTGATGGTGTTGAAATATAAAAGACTACAAAAAACGGTAATTTGTACATAATCATACAGGTGTATACTCTCGTGTATTGATGACTATAATCTGATTGATCCTTTCATTTTTTTTTTTTTTGGGGCCAATCGACATCTTCGATAAATTGATTTTGGATGGAAGAGATATTTCAAGAAACGGCAGAATCAACAAGCTATGAACTGAAAGTAACAACTTATTTCACTGGGTGATGAGAATTCATGTATATTTCACTTAGTGAATGTGGATGGGATCATGGGATACGGAAATACTAGGACGAAATTTGTATTTAAGCAAGACAATTTTGCCATTGATCTATAGATTGTTAGGAGCTCTTTATATCCATGTGTAAGAAATAATAATACGACATAACGTGTTATGAGTTTCAGAAAATATTCTACCGCATAGTTGCAGTAAAAGTTTCCCATATTTCTTTCTTCTCGGTTCTTCCTCACGCAACTCTTTGCAACGGTCCAAAGTTATCCTCAACTAGTTGGGCCTTTTATACACCGAATCCATGAGTTTTGGGCACAACTGTTGGTGTCCTACACCACGGGGAGGATAAATCAGCCCATTACTTCTCTGTTGCCAGAATAATAATTATCTTCTTGTACTTGTTTTTTCACATGATTGGGCCAACTAAGGATTTTTTTTTTCTGGGATAGAAAACAATTTGGATGGATTCAATTTCGATCATTATCACCGGTCATATATACCTCCGAAATCATAGATTGTTTAAAGGGGGGGGGGTTTATAGATCACCTACCAATACAACTATTATATCAACAATACGAGTCGAACATACTATCTTTTGTGAGGAAGTGACCCGTACCTACCAATTGAGCCAATTTATATTGGTAGGCTAACTAAGACGACTAAATGAAACTCCGCGGCAACTTGTAGCCGTTGAATTGAAGCAATAATTTCTGATGCACAGAACATGAATTTTATGCATACTTGTTTGGGCTTTCTGGTATCAGATAAGGAACTCCTATACGTGAATTATCGAGTGAGACTTGAACGAAAGCCTTCAGATCAACTTTGAACACTTCGTATTTCACCTGAATGTGTTAACAAAGCCCAAGGGCTGCATATTAATCGCAGCCTGTTTGGGCTTGTAAATATGATCAGGCCGATGGGGACGTCTCAACCTACACGGTTCCATGGGTTTGCTCTCGCGTGGAGATGGCCTACTACTCGCTCTGGAACCCCAACATTCAACTACGTATTAGGGCTGTTTCACAGATGAGCGTTAGTTGCCCCTAGCCAGCATGATGATTGATGAACCTCAAACACAATTTTGTCTACTTATTACACCAAGAATCAGTGTTTGATATAAAATTTTTTTTTTTTTTTTAAAAAAGGGGACTTGATACTTGCCTTTCAAAAGTTGTATTTTGAACCAAAGCAAAATGTTTCGTAAATGCAAAATTTTTTTTTTAAATGTTTCTGAAAGCTTTTTTTTTTTTGGCAGATTACTCACCTCAGTTATGAACCGCATGTGTTGCTAAACGACAATCGGCCGGTTGATAATACTCCTTTTTAAGGGTACTTTTAATTTTACAAACTGTTACACTTCACACGTCAATAATTAAGCTTAAAGCCTGTTTTTGATAGCTTAGAT